GAATGATGATTCATTTGTGGAAATTCATAGTGAGCTTAAACACTTACAGGCTAGTCCTGCAACTCGATAGTCCTTTGCTGCTGGCCAAGGACCCAGAGGCGGAGTTTTTCTTCAATCCTCTACACAGTTATTCGCTCATACGGCAAATGCACTTCGACTGGCCACAAGTGGAGAAGCTCATGGAGCAGAGAGCGGGTCTGGGTGAGTTGTCCCTCAGTTATCTATGCCCGCTCTGTGCTAATTGATATGTTTGTAGAGCAAATTGATTTTCTCAAGCAAATGCGCGTTGAGCTGCCTCAACTTGAGGATGTCAAAGAGGCAGTGGCTGCTATTCACAGGGTACAGCAAATCTACAAGCTCAAGCCAGCTGATATAGCTCACGGTTTGCTCGATGGAGCTTATGTGAAGTATGGGAACGTAGGATTAATAGAATGATTAATCACATATACATATGTACATATGTACTTCTATTTCGCAGTTCGCAGCTCTCGATCTCTGACTGCTTTGAGATGGGAGCGAACTTGTTCGAGGCATCGCAGTTCACAGATGCAGCTAATTGGCTACATCTGGCTAGATACTTGTGGGATCAGTCCCCGATTGCACCCTTTGAATTGTTAACTGTCCCACGTACTCAAATATCCTCACTCATGGCGAGATCCATAATGGCAGCAGGTCAGTTACTTCATCACCAACAGATGCTAAACTTGACTTTCTTCATCTTCACTTAGGTAACAACAAGCTAGCGCGAGCTGAACTGCTAGAAGGTTTTCATCGAAACTATACAATTACCAAAATTGAAGACCATTCTTACTTAGACATAATGGACAATGACTTTATTGAGTTTTGTGGGTCGTCTTATATGCCCCAACCGACTCGACTTGTGTGTTCTTATAAGACGAAACCTTCAAAGTTTTTGTATCTAGCCCCATTCAAAATGGAGCTGTTATCCGAGAATCCTTACATGGTCGTTTTTCACGATGTGATCTCCGACTCGGAGATACAGCATCTGAGAAATACGGCTGAGCCCTTGTTGCAGCACTCCTATGTTAAGAAAAGCATCAATGAGAGTGTTATATCAAAAGTTCGAACTGCAAAAGGCTCTTTTATGCGTGCAGATCGCCTATCCCCGGAGAGTGCTCAAGTGGTGCAACGTCTAAAGCAGAGGTTGGGCGATCTATCGGATCTAAATATAAGGAGGAAGGGCTATAACGAGATGCAGTATCTCAACTATGACTTTGGGGGTCATTATCTCCTCCATACGGACTATTTTAATATCTCCATGAACGACCGCATTGTCACCTTTTTAATTTATGTAAGTTCCATATGATGGTTCCATATGGAAACAGCTATTTAAATGTTACTTGTTGTGCAGCTCAATGATGTGACTCGGGGTGGTGGCACAATCTTTCCCCAAGTTAAACAAGTGGTTCATCCGGAGAAGGGCAAATTGATCTTGTGGTACAATATGAATTCAAATCTCGATTATGAGGTAGATAGTCTTCATGGTGCTTGTCCCGTTCTGATTGGGCGAAAAACAGGTAATGACATTATTGTCATTTTGAATACATACATTAAAGACCCTTCTCTTTGTAGCCATCGTCTATTGGATCCGCGAACACGATCAAATGTTTGTAAAGCCTTGCTTAAAGCCGCCGCAAAATCGACGTACAGAAGCGATAGAGGGAGATGGATTTTGAGATAGAGGGAGAGAGAGAGAGAGAGAGAGAGAGAGAGAGAGACAGAGACAGAAGGGAGATATATATTACTGGTTTGATATTCCATTCAAACGGTTCAAACGGTTCATAACTTGAAAGGATATGAGATAAGGCATCGCTCCATTTACAAAAAAAGAATAAAATAAAAAAAATAAAATAAAATAAAAATGGCTAATGTTGGCCTTGCCGCTACGTTTATCGAAATGGGAAAACGTAGTTTGCGCAAGATTTACTTTCTCTACTTTCTTTTGGTGTGCTTGCACTCAGCTCATTGCACCATTAAGTGGGCAATTAAATTCAATTAGCCCCGCACACACTCAACTCCTGGCAGACCATTTATCAGACTCGTGCTACTGTGCCCGCGCCTGCCCCTGCTCCTTCTTTCCTCGGACGTTCCTAATAATTTCATAGATTTATCGTTCGACTGGCATTTTGACTTTTGCCAACAAAGTTTCCGGATCTGCAAAGTTCTTGAGTTCGATTTCAATTTTGATTAGGATTTTAATTTCAATTTGGATTGATTGCAATAAAACTACCTGGATAAAGCTTTAAGTGAACTATTGAACTATTTATTATCCCGTAATTAGTGCATGAGAGACTTATCCCAATGGCTTTAGTATGTGGACATCCTTATTTAAGGATTCCTTTAAGCTCGCCTCGTTGCGATTTGTGCATTTATCTTGCTTTCACCTCGATACAAATTGAGTCACATTGAGCAAGGCAACAGACAATAGACAACAGACAACATCTGGCAATGTTGTCTCTGTCTCTCTATCTCTCTCTTTTACTCTATGCCATCCCACGAAAGGTAACTGCGGCAATTTATCAAAATTTGCAAACGGAATGAGCCTGTGGCGAATGGAAGGAGAGAGAGTGTGTGTGAGAGAGAGAGAGAGAGAGAGAGAGAGAGAGAGAGGTAGAGCACGCAGCGCAGCCAACAAAAGCAATTGGCATGCGTGTGTGCGTGATTGCATGTCTCTGTGTCTATGTGTAGGTGTATTGCTGCGACTGCCTGTGTGTGTGTGTGTATTTCTGTACTTGACTTAAATTGCTTTTTTCAATGCCAACGGCTGCAGCTTTTTGTTGTTGTTGCCCTGGCTGGCTGCCTGTCACATGTGGAGCCAAATGTCATTTCAGCAAAATCCCTCAAGTCGTTCATCTGCCTTGTCTGTTGCCGACCGTAGCTGTGTGGGTATGAGTGTGTGTGTGTGTGCGTGCGGGTGTGCGCAAGAAAACACTGTGCAAAATATGTATGTTGGCAACATTTTTCTGTGGCTGCTCAAATTGCACTGTGGCACTGTGGTTGGGCGGCCTGGGCAGCTGTTGCGGCTGCTTTTACAAGACAATGAACAGTTGTTGCTTCTGCTGCTGCAACAGCAGCAACAATAACAATGATTGTGAGTTCAAAAGGTGAGTGAGTGTCTGAGTGTGTGTGTGTGTGTGTTTGTGGCCTATTGGTTGCGACAAATGAGGTAAGGATATGTAAATATAAAATAAGGCAAAAAGATCACAATAAGGAGACTTAAATGTGCCCAGCATATGCCGTTATGTTGGCTTTCGGCTTAGCATTTCTGTGTGGTGCGCTTCCTCTTGCTTGAGTGGAAGCAGTGCACGCAAAGTGCAAAGAGAGGAGCAAATACAACTTTTATATCTCTCCCTCTCTGCCTAACTGATCGTTACGGGTGAGTGAGCAGCAACCTGCAGCAAAGCTGTGAGTCGGTTGCATGCAAACGATTGGTCGTCAAAAGCTCGATCCCGTTATCTTTGTAGGCATAGTTTAGTTTGTGAACGTCTCTTCGAGTGATCAGTTGTCCCTGTTACCCAAAGGGCGGATCATATGCAAATTGTATATCTGTCCCTCTCTCCCATGAGTGCCTGGCACCCAGCTGCAACTCAGTCTGTGAGTCTTTGCTTGCACGCGATAGGTCGTCATAAGTTCGATACCGTTGTCTGAGTAGACTGCAATGGTAGGTTAGCTTCTGCACATCTCCACAAGTCATCGGTTGTTGTTGTTGTCCCTCTTACTCATGTGCATTTACAGTCAAGTTCACATTTCAAATTGCTCTAAAAGACAATTAGTGTGCGATTTGTTGTATAGAGAATACCAAATGTATATCAAAGATAATTAAATCAGATTTACTATATAGCTGCAAAGGTCTTTGCGTAATAGCACATGTTCCCTTGTCTTCCATTTCATAACAATTTAAAACAATTGAAAGCGCTCTCAGCACAACACATATTTCAAATCGTAGAAACTCCATCAGCTTAAGCCTCTTTGAGTTCACAGATTTGTTTGACAATCATTTATTTGTATTTGTTGCGTTGCGTTGGGCTTGTTGCGCGGCTTTCAACATGAGCCGTGCCCCAGTTTACCTACTTCAACATTCAGCTCTAATAAAATGAAAATGCCAACCATTTTCACTTAAGCTGCCGTGCAATGCGATAGTCCCGGGCCGGATAACTTCTTTGGGCTGTCAGTGCTATAAAAAATTAGCAACAATTTTTCAGCATCGCATCAAATGCGTCGACTGTCAACCGCACAACGTGAAGGCAACCCTCGCCGCGGAGGGCAGGCATTCACTTATCAAGTAGCTGACTTACTTTGCCGGCTACACCTTGCCGCATGCCGCACGCCGCATGCCACATGCCTCGCACTTTGTCATCCGCCCGGCTCTGCTTAGGTAATTTGATATGCTGCGGCTTACAATCTTTTTATACTCAGTTTTTTTTTTTTGCTCATTCTCATTCTCATATTTATTTTATTCGCCACAAACGATTTACGGGCGCACCGCAATTTGTGTTTAAACAGGAATATGATGGCCGCGATTGAGATGGAGACTTGTGCTAAAGTAGCGCTAAATGAATTGTTTGCGCTACAGATTGAAATTCTAATGCCGAGACACCAAACACTTGTGGATACGTAGAGGCAGATACTCGGAGGCGGCGGAAAGGCGGGTTGCCATCCGTTGGCTTACCTTCAGCTTTGTTTTCGCTGTCGTCTGGACTGCCAAGGACTTCTTGGCCATGTCCGCGGGCTGCTGCAAAAGACACTCGGCGAAATTAATTTTCTGCAGACGCCGCTCACTCAAGCAGCTGGGCGTGGTCCGCCCGCCAAGAGCTTCACGTCGACGCCTTGAGTATATTATTATTATTTTCTTCCTCTTTTTTCGCTCTGTTTGTTGTTTTTGCGTTGGCGTTACTTTTTTTCGCTGCAGCTGCTTTAAATTGGTTTCGTGTTCGTTTCGCCCACTTGTGGCTGACTTTGACTTTTTTTCTTTTCTTGCACCTTGGCTAATTGCAATTGGACGCGCATGTTGCTGACAGCAGCGACTAAAGCAAAATCTTTCAAAAATTTAAGCGCTTTAAGTGAACGCCAGCAAAGTAGAAAAAAATTCATTTTGCTCTGGGCAGGACTCCTGGCGTTAATGGCAGTTTTATGGGCAAACGTTGCGGTCCCTTTGCAGCAGCAGCAGCAGCAGAAGCAGCGACAGCAGCTGCCAGTGCTAAATATTTTGTTACTGGTTTGGCGGGGGCCAAAAATCTAATCTATGCTAGCCACACACACACACACACACGCACGCATAGTTACTATTTTTTGCGGCACTCAGTTTTTTGCTGCATACTTTCGAGCGCAGCGCAGTTAATTGCCCCTTGAAGAATACGCCTCACTCACATTGCATACCTATTCGGACACAAAGGCATTGCGCTGGCCATGTGTGCCTTTTAATCGGTTTGACTTTGCTGCTGACCTGCGGCGCAACAACAACAACAACAATGGCAACAAGGACTACAAGGACAAACAGCGAGCTTGCGTGTGTGTGTGTGTGGCCCGCAGCAGATTGAATCCTAATCGAGGTTTTGACTTTGGTTACGTTGCGTAAACACGCAACAACCGGTGTACACACACACACACACACACATACACACGTACATGGACTTGGGCTGCTGCACTTTATTGTAGCATACTTTCAGGCTGAATGTGGCTGGCGGCTCATTTGGGGGCAATTTGTGCGCCGAGCAGCGGCTTGGGGCACATTCAACTGTCGCTGCTGTTGCTGCTGCTGTTGCTGCTGCAGCTTGCGGTTTTGGTGTGCCCTGCTCTAGCTGCTGCCGTTGCCTTTAAATGCGCTTTTAATCGCTGACTTTGTGCCTGGCGCTGGCTCAAAACTTGCCATCAATATTGAACCGGCGCGTGTCTATGCAGCTGTTGACAGCAACTGGCAACTGGCTCACGTCGATGGGCCAGGCCGTCTGCATATACCCAGCATAACTTTTGACAGCTTCAAGTTTGACACCCTCGAAAACTCTGTGGCAACTCTAGCGACACAAAAGCAAACGAAAGACTTTGTCCCGTGTCTCGTGCTCTGTGTCCCCTTTTTTGTATGCAGCAATACGCTGACTTGACTTGTCTCTGGCTCTGTGTCTCTGTTGCTGCCCTCCCTGCGACCTTCAGTACATGACGCACACACTCACACACACACACGCTGACAACTTCAAATATCACGTAAGCATTTCACTAGATGCGGGCTCTCAGCTACCTTCTTGCCCCACGTCCGCCAACAGCAGCCAGAGTTGTGCATGCATCAATTTTTGGTTATTTCTTGCCATTCTGTACTGTAGTTATATGTCTATATTTATATATGTATATCTATGCGTAGTTACATATTTTTTATTTCCTATTTTTTATTGTCAAAAATTTTGCTTTTACTTTTCGTCGTCGTCGTCGCCGTTGTCGTTGTTGTTGTTGTTGTTGTTGGCTTTGCTGCCTGTCCAGTTTGTTGAAAAGGTCAGACATTGTCAGTTAAGTGTCCATGTCGAAGAGTGTTGTTCAACATTCGAGTGCTTTTTACATTTCTCTCTCTCTCTCTCTCTCTCTCCGTTCTTCTTTTTTACTAGCTATTACTCAGTGCCAGGGCTAGCAGCAGCTTCTCAGCTGGTAACAGCTCTTGTCTTGCCTTCTGTGCGAACGACTTGGTCTGGTTAGGTGTCAATGTGCAAAGTGGAATTATGGTAAATGGTATTGGAAAACTTTTGCAGCATCTACACCAAAT